TGTGTGTGTGTGTGTGTGTGTGTGTGTGTGTGTGTGTGTGTGTGTGTATGGGTGAGCTTTCTGTATGTTTCTGTACCAGATGAAGCATTATTGCAGTTTACTGTATTCTATTGTGGTTTCCCACTGGTGTCTTTTTAAAGGTTGCTGGTATTTGAGCTGAATCTCTTTGCTTAAAATTTGCTTTTATTGTTGATGTTTTGTTGTTTTAGGTGATACATATTTTCCTGTTTTCCTGAGATGCACTGTCACTGATGTCGTAAATGAAAATTTATCTTTGGCACCAAGTTTTTCTTTTCTTTTTACTTTTTTTTTTTTTTTCTTTTTTTTTTGGTTGTTCCAAAATAAACATTACTCTTAAATAGTTGCTGTGTATTTGTCTTTCCAGTGTTCAGCTGTTATTTAACTGGTCCAAATGGGGAGATGATGAGTTAATTTTCCTCCCACAGGTCAACATGATATTTTAATTTAGGTCTAATAAAAGTCTCAGTTGCTCAGAATACAAGGATGAGCTGCAACATCTTACTTTTCAAACATTTCCTTACAGCTCTACCTTTGAGTACACGCAGAGTTCTCTGACCAGCTGTTTCATTCTCCATTGTTGGGGACTGCCTAGAAAGGCAGCACCTATTATTATCCACCTGAAGAGGGTCTTGCTCTTCCTTCAACTTTAATGTGTCCTGAATCACAATGTTGCTGGTATATCAAAATGAATGGCTCGACACCGTGATGTGTGCTATTACTTTTATTGGTATTTCGAGTTGTCATGGCGACGTACCGTATTTTTTAGACTATAAGGCACATTAAAACATTTTGACAGATTTTTGAGCACCGTGTACCACATAAAATTGGTTTGAGGTCAGTAAGCACAACCAGAATTGATACATCAGTTGCACCATATTATAAATCTCACTGTTGATTTTTGAGAAAATGAAAAGGATGTGAAGTGTGCCGTATAGTCTGACAAATACAATAATTTGCTAACAAAGATGCTATTTTTCTCATTGAAAAACACTGACGGAACTAACAGCTTCTAACCGTCACAGCTCATGAACAGCTTGTTGGATTTGTTTGAAACTCACAGAAAGTACTCATCAGATATCCTGATACATGCTCAATAAGCCAGGTAGAAAAATCCAAAAAAGTTCAATCTGGTCCTCTGGACATAACAAAAAACAAAACAAAGCAAAAAAATATAGAAACGTTTCGTCTCTCATCCAAGCGACTTCCTCAGTCTGAGGTGCTGTATTCAGCTCAGTCTCTTAAATAGCACCTTCTCAGAGTGGATCAACCAGTTTGCTGCTGACAACCAAAACCAGCTGCTCACAGATGTATCTCTAGAAGTGATTAACCATTGGAGCCATTTTGGTTCAAGATGGCTGTGGCAGCTACCTCAGAAAACACAACATTGACTATAAATCAGTCATTCTTTGAGATATTGAGCTGAAATTTGGTATGATCGTAGCTGAGAGTGACTTGTTATATATTCCTAATGCAAATCAATAATCCAAGATTCCATTCCTTATCTAAATGGGAAAAACTACTATAACTCAACTATTTTAAAGGATATTGAGCTGTTATTTGGTGTGGTGGTACCTGACAGCGATGCACAACACATTCTGAATTCAAATCTAAAAATGTGAGATGGCTAAAGCTAAAAAAAACAACTATAACCCATTGATCTGTTGCCTTATTGAGTTGAAATTTGGTGTGATGGTAGCTGAGAGTACAAAGGACCATCACATCGAAAATTTAAAACGGCCACGACATGACAGTCCCCATCGAAGTTGGTCCAGGAACTTTCTAGTTTTATTTCCTCTCCAGTTTAGACATGGAAAGTTGGTACTGTCTTCACTGTTGGGAAGCAGCAAGTCTCACCCAGTGTCTTAAAACTTTGCATCACAGAGAAAAGTGTTGATAAATTACAATCCTAGCATTCCTTGAATACTGCCCGAGTTTTAAGATGGGATCATCTTGAAATGAGACGAGTCAAAGAGCAGTTAGTTTGGTCATACCTTGTCTTGCAAAGTGTTAATGCTCAGAGGATGTTGTGTGACTCAGCTGCTATATTTTGATGGAGTTGGAGCCATGTTTGTGTTTGTGTCGGGACTTTGGTCAAGGTTTATGGACGTGTTTTACTATGGCTGAGAATGTTAACTGCTCATGAATCATGTTAGCAGAGGGTTCTTTTTTCTCTCAGAGAGAGCTGAACAAGGAGCTGACTTGATCCTGCATGTACAGCTGGATGGCCATGGTCACCAGTCTGCCTGTGAGCTGATGAACTTCTTAATAACAAACTTCACACACTGCCCATGGCAAATTCTCATGTCTGGGCTCCATGCATGTAAAACTTCTGTACATCTGTGTAACCTGTTGTGAAAGTCTGCCCTTGCAAGTAAAACTGGTTAAAAATCTTCTCGTGTCCTTGAGTGTGGCTTCTTTGAGTAAATAAGATGAATTGAAATGGACTGTGCTTATATAGCGCCTTTCTATCTTATTTCAAGATACTCAAAGTGCTTTACACTACAATCTGCATCCTCAGTTACCCATTCACACAGCACTCTACTAGATCTCTGCAAAGCTAATTGAACAAATCATTCTAAAGAGACTAATCAGAGCTTTATCACATTCAAACACCAATGGGACACACATCGGAGGCTATGAGGGATTCAGTGTCTTGCCCAGGGACACTTCGGCATGTGACTGCTGGTGGATTCAAACCCCCAACTCTCGCATTGGAGGGCGACTGCTCTAACCACTCAGCCACAGCCAAAGATATTTTTATTCAACAGTTAACAGGAAGATGGCTGCATCATGAAGGACCCCACTCACCCAGCACACACTTTTTGCCCCGCTCCCCTCAGGAAGGAGGTTGAGGAGCATTAAGTGTAGAACCACTAGACTGAGGAACAGCTTCTACCCTGAGGCTGTTAGACTCATGAATCTCTAGCCAGGAGAATCACTGTGAAAAAAAAAACAGACACTAATGAAACTTTGATTGTTGATATGTGCTGCTGATCATATGCTGCTGATCTCATGCTGCTGTATTCATTCATTCATACTCATCCACCCACACAGACTCATGTTCGTGCTGCTTATTGTTCGGTGTATTGTTTTGCACTTTTAGTGACTAGCGTATATCTTAGCCCTATTAGCATACTGTTTGGTGTTCATTTAGTTTTTTTCTTATATCTCAGATCCTTACTTAATGTTTATTTTTTCACTTTATATTTTTGCTATTGTTGGATGTAACTGGGACCCAGTGTACATAGTTTTGTTCCACCTCGTGTACCACATGTGATGCAAATGATAATAAAGAACCTTGAACCTGAATGTGAATTAGCTACGTCCGTCCTGAGTTGACTCCAAATGTTAATCAGTTGTAGAATCCCAAATCTGTAAAAGTTGCAATGAAGAATGCAATGATAAACATTTTATCTCACAATGACACAGGAAACACATCAAATGTTGAAACTAAGAAATTGTCCTTTTTGAGTTGATTTTAATTTTATGACAGCAACACATGTAAGAGGTTAAAAAACGAGCAACTGGAGGAGCATATTGTAGCACCGTCAGTTAGTGAGAGCACTGGGCATAAGAAGAGCATTTTGAAGATAGGAAGTAAAGATGGTCAGAGGTTTCCCAGTTTGACAAACTGCATCTAAAAATAAAACGATTTCAGGATAATGCTCCTCAGGAAAATTGTGAAGACTGAAGATTCTAAAGTTCATAATATGAAAATATGTGAAGAATCTGGAGACATGTCTGAGCTCAGAGGACAAAGCTGAAAGTCAACATTTAGATAGTCGTGGGACCACCGCAACAGAAACAAGTCCGATTCTGTCAGACATCTCTGCATTTTGTGTTTGTAAACAATTATTTCCATGTAAATAACAGCAGTTTAGAAAATTGGAGTTACTTGATTAGGACAAGCCACTGACTCATCAGTTTGGTGAGAACAGAACTTGTTTTCTCCAAACTGAGGTTGCTCCAAGAGCTACAGCATCTATAGCAGATTTTAACCTTCCCACCACTGAGCCTAAATGTTTAAAATGTTCCTTTCAAAGCTCGTCATGTGATTCAGCCTCAGTAAATCCTGATTGCTTCCTCTCAGTCGGACTCTCCCTCAGAGCCTGTATTTGTGC